TTTTTCTAGCTCAAATGAGGCTGCTAATGCAGATCTCATTAGTTTTATGCATATGGAAAACCAATGGAAAAGGTAATTGTTTTGAAAACACTCCAACCTATTTACTTTAATAGACTTGGAAAGAAAAACAATTAAGAAAAGAGAAGATATGAGCTTCTTTTACAGGGAATAACTAGAGATACTCACCCAGCTCTGCCCCTACCCAGTTTTTTCACTTTCTAATTATAGATTTTCAAGAGAAGACATTCTATTTAGGTAGTTCTTAAAGGATTGAGCCTGGAGAAGTGAGGAATATACGCTAATTTTACAATGTAGGAGACTCAACATGCTAAGTTCAAAGTTTTGCTGATTAAATTGAAGAAAATATTAAATGCATTGGAGATGCCATGCAAAAACTCTCCTGGTGACTTTTCTTACATTTCAGTCACAATTCATATAATAACTTTAATGAAATTCTCTAATTTTTAGAAAAGGCTGACCCAAAGCCAATTTCTTGTGCACACTAGAGCATCAGAAAAGAATGCTGGGGATTTAGCTCAGTGGTTCCACTGCCTGCCTTGCAAGTACAAGGTACTGGATTCGATTCCCGGTACCAAAAAAAAAAAAAAAGATTGATGAAAGTGCTATTTTTTTTTTTCCCAGAGGGGATAGCTAGCCAGCCCTAACATTATCATTGCTCTAGAAATCTTTTGAAATTAGCAACAAATTAGGGGTAGGGCAACCACATTACAGTTTTCTTCTTTATGACCCCAAATTTTAAAGCTTTAATAACAGGGAGATTCAATTTTTCAGCTGTCCAGTTCTAAAGCCACGTGCCCAGACTACACCAAAGGTGTACCTGGAAGACTGATGATGGTGATGATATTTCACATGAGTGGAATTGAGTGGAACAAAAGCTCTACCTGGCTAGGGGACCAAGAGCAAATTGTGTAACTGTGTAATTGTTCCTTATAGAATTTGAGTGTTACTCTGATTCTTTGCCTCCCCTCACCCACCAGATACCTAATCACCAAGACTGATGGAATCCCACAGTTACTCCTTCCCCACTATGATGGGGACCTGAGATTACCATCTCTCCTGCCATGGTGCACACAGCAGCCCTCTAATCAGCTTCCCTCCTTCCCGTCTCCTGCCACTGAGACTGGGAAGGGAAAATCTGACCACCTGCACTAACCCTTCCCCAAAGCCCCCAGACCCTTGCTAGAAAGTGGATTCTTGGGCGTTCACTTGTAAAATGAAGAGAATAACACTTCACTAGATTGTGGTAAGGAGTATATGGCATAATATAAACAAAAGCATTTGTTTAAGTGAAGAAAACATAACAAATGTAGGAAGTTATATTAATGCAAAATTTAATTTGCCAGATAATTGAATCAACTAAAGAAGTTAAATATAATTATTTAAGTAAAATGATTTAATGCATTATACTAGAGGTTTGGCAGATTTATACAAGCTGTAGTGATAAAGTGGCTATCTTACTTTTTCTATATACTAGATATGAGATGTTAATAGCAAAATCAGTACATACGGGGAATTGTGACTTTTATGCAGCAACAATCAATAATCTCTAAATACTAGCTTATTCATAATTCACACACCAGATTCAGTGATTTATAGACAAGGCTTTAGACTATAAATTTGCCTTTTCAAAAGATATCTGAACAGAATTTGTCATGTAGTCTTTTTATAGAAAATTAAAATAAAATGCCAGCATATCTGCCTATTTATCAGGAATAGAAATCCTCAAAGAGACCAACATGTTCTGAAGTAAATATTCAACAGTGAATAAGTAATAGTGAGTTAGTATCTAATGAGTAATCACAGTTGTATAGTAGAAAATGGCTGGAGTTTTAATTATCTCAACCACAATGCTCTAAGTTATCAGAGACATGTATTGTGCCTCTGACCTAAAATAAACCTGGAGAGGAGGTGTGTGATAAAAATGGAGGCAGATTTACCACCTACCTCACAAGTGCAAGGTCCCAAGTTCAATCCCCAGTACAAAAAAAAAAAAGAAAGACCAAATTTTGTCAGAAAGAAAATTAATAAAATAGTAAAAATGATAATTCATACCATGGTAGGATACAAAAAAGTTCTAATTATTTAATGGATCATATCACAGCTACTCTGGACTTTAATAAAGATGAGATTCATAACACACTACCAGGAAAAAGACAACAAAATAGGTATTACTTTTCATAGTAGGATAGTTACAGGCACACAGCAAGTGTTCCCTAAAAATCATACGGTCAATTAGCAAATAAGAATCAGGATGCCTTCCTGTGACTATTACTATCATCTCAGATCCCTTTTACTATTCATGCTATTCAAAAATATTCAGTCCCATTCTATACCATAACAATTGTTCCAGTGAACTCATATGATATTCATATTGAATATAAATACATGTGTGTCATAATAAATTATGAAATACAAAGCATCTCACAATCCTTCCTTTTCCTAGCACAATCTTTGAAATAGACAACTTCCTGGTGTCTAACAAATTATGCGGGAACTTTGAGACATTGGGACTTATAACTTTATGCTACTGTTAGGACAGTTTGTTTTGTAGATATGGCAAATCCATGGCACAGTGGCCACAATAGCCCCAAACCCACAACAGACATCAAAAATTGATCATGACTCTCCCACTAACCCTAGAATTGATGTTTGATATCAATTTAAACAGTGTATTCCATCCAGCACTTTTTAGCCAGTTCATTTATTAATGTAACAAATAGTGAATTTTTGCTGTATGCCAGACACTACTGGAGAGGCACATTGCAGACAGAAGTAATTAGGAGATATGGACCTTACCCTCTTTAAATTAGATTAACAATTGATCTGACACTCAAATTAATGGTTATTTGCTAAGTTTTCTCTTTGTAAGTAAAGTGGAAATCTAAATAGCTTAGCTTTTCTTACATTATAAAAAAGGATTGCTGTGACTAGGCTCTGTACCTCCTACCTGCTGGGTCCATAATCCTGGGATATCTACTGAAGAAGATAAATGGAAAAAGAAGTGAACATAATTTTTTAGAAAAAAAAAAGATGGCTTATTTTATTCATATGTATCTATGCAAATTAGATTCTGATAACGTGATGGAGAATAATTTATGAGAATGTTATCAGGAATGCTTTCTCTCCTATTCCCTCAGAGAAAGTCTCTAGGGCCCTCTGCAAAGTATTCTCTTTTCTCCATGAGTTGGAAGAACATAAGATGCCATGGTAGTACAAAGAGAAAACAGATGGTTGAGTATATGATTTTTTTTCCTCATCACTGTCAGGTACTGTGTCTTCTTTCCCCCTGAACTGCAAAATTGCCTCTCTCAAAGTCTCTTGTTCTTAATTCTACAACCTCTCCACTCTGCCCTACTTCCTGTCTTCCACCCGATCTTCCCATCTGTGGAGATGGGCTAACTTCCCCTGTACAATTTCCCAGCCCGCAGCCTACTCATCTGTATAAGTGGGCTGATGAATCCCTGTGAGGACCAACTGCTAGGGTGTTAGTCCCTGCTCTTACCTATCCCTGGAAAAATATATACTGTCAGAACAGAGTTTGAGGAGCAGGGATTTAAAAGTGCCTTAAGTCAAATCAGGCTTTCAAGCCAAGTGAGATGGTACAAACTTGCAAGCCCAGTGTGCTGGGTGGCTGAGGCAGAAGGATCACATGTTTGAGATTGGCATAAGCAACTTAGGGATTAAGACTTTGTCTCAAAAGTAAATAATAAATAAATAAATAATAAAAAGAACTGAGGATGTAGTTCTGTGCAAAGGCCCTGGTTCAATTCCCACCCGGTACCAGAAAAGAGATTGAAGCTGATGATAGTTGACAGTATTATGTCAATATCATATCATGCAACTGCAACTGTTCTTCTATCTCCTAAGACTAATCATAAATTTGGGGAATTGTATGTTATGCTCATTTAAAATATTTTCTACTTGTCTTATTTCAAATACTCAAAAATAATTCCACCAAAATGTTAAATCTATTATACTACCTCCAGCACAAAGACCTTGTTCTTTAACTCAGCAGAAGGTAGACACACATGAATATTTTTATTCGTGCTGTTAGCTCATTGTCATTTTTAATGCCTACTAATTTTGCTTTCATGTTCTCTAGATCTCCCTCAACAAGTTTTGGAAACTGGAACTAAATCAGGAAGAACCCAATGGCAAGCCAGTTTTCTCATTCTTTCTCCAGGATCCCTTTCTAATGCCAGTTTATATTCTTTTAAGGATTTTGCATTCCTTCCCTTTGAGTATTACTTCATATATTCATTCTCTAAATAAAGAATAAAATTAGAATGAACAGGATTCATTTTTGCCTTTCTTTTTTTCCACTGTACATTGCTATGTGCCAAGTCTTATAACATTTTGATATGTGCTTATGAACATGAATAATACACTATTATCAGTGGGAACCAATTCTGTAATCGCTAGAAATAATATCAGCATTACATTATTAATTTAGTAAAATACAATGGTGCTGCATGTGTGTGTAATGATGAGGACTAAAGCCACGGCCTCAAACATGTTGAGCACTCTTGAACATGCTCAGTGCTCTACCACTGAGCTATATCGCTAGTCCAGAAAAAAAGGACAATATTTTATGATTCTAACATGGAGAATGCAGCTGTGTTAAAGGACCAAAGTCTCATTGTATTCTGGGGTTTCCATAATTAAGAATTAGAACCAACATCCTATTATTCACTATGCATCCGACTGTGTGCCAGATACTATTCTGGATATTGTGGGTACACTAGTGAAATAATCATACACACATCTGTCCCCTAGCATACAATTTACTGAGAGGGTCTTTAAAAATTATGGTTGAAAGTGACATTCAAGAAATGTGTTAGAATACCATTCTGTAAATATCTACAACTGTGGCAGAATCTCTTTCTTGGTCTTTCTTTAGGAAAGCCACCTTACCAATGGATCAAGGTCAACGTATGGTCAAACAATAGCAAAGAGAATATAAAAAATGGAAATCTTACCACTAATAAATATATAGATCGCGGATTCTGGTCGTTTCTGTTGTGAAGTAGAGCCAAGCAGATATTTGCATTTGTAGTAGCCAGTGTGGTTTGCCTGAGCTGAATTCAAGGTCAAAGTACTGCAGAATTGTTTTTTGTCCCTTCCACAGGCAGATTTAGTTACGGTCAGGTGTTTGTTTTCCTTTCTCACAGTTTTAGGAAAAAACCATGAATGGGGTGCTTCACTCCTGCAGTCGCAGATAAGAAAACAAAGCACAATCAAGGCTGGGGCCAGGACTCAGCACAAGTTCCTAAGCAACAGTTTTGCCAGCAGAAAACACTATCTTGAAGTTCTCTCTTCAGTGTAGTTACCATCCTCTTTTCAGAAAAAAAAATATCTATCTTTTTGCTTTTCTTTTTTCCATTCACATTAAATAATGATTACATTCCTTGTAGGGAACTGGTACATGTACATCACATATCTTAATTCTTTTTTTCAGTCCCTTTCCCTCCCCATTCCCTTCTGATCCCTCCATCTCTGCATCCCCTTCCCTTTTGAAGAAAATCTATCTCCCTACTTTCTGTTATCTATCTTTTATGTTGCTCTTAATTTATATTTTGGATTTCTCATGTGGTATTAAACTTATGTGCCTGATTTACTTCACTTAACATTATGGTCTCAAAGTGCATCCATGTACTGCAAATAACTCAAATTCATACTTCTTTACGGCATGGTGGTACTCCATTGTGTACAAATACCACATTCGCTTGATCCATTCCTCTGTTGGACATACAAGCCGTTTCCTAGATTTAGCTTTGTAAACTGTGTGTGCATGTATCACAATACTCAGATTTAAAATGCAAAAATGTCTGAGCAGTATTATTCCTCCATGCCCCCTAAATGAGTAATGCTGTTCCCTCCTTGGGAATTATCTTCCATGTGAAGCGCTGGATATGTGTAGCTGCAGACTGCAGATCCCGGGAGACTCCTGGGTCTCTACTACTCTACTCCAAAGGGTCCTTTCTACTCTACCAATGAATTAATGGTTTTTGCCTTGGGAAAGGCAACTAGATTGTTCCCAAATCAAAACAGCTTCTTACCTGCATCTGAGATACAGTGTCTGCCCTGCTTGCAAGATGTGCTGGGTGCCTTTTAAATTCAGTTCAGGATTTTTGAATTCTGAACCTGAACTAGGTCCTAGAAAACAAATTATTAAAATGTATTATTTGCAAATTACCTTTGCATCTTTTTAGAGTTATTTTTCTTTTTAATTACATATGCAGAAGATACATTGAATATAAATTATCTTAGTTCACAAATTTTTCCAGTTCAAGTCTTGCTCACAAATATTATAGTTACTTAATATCAAATAACCTAAATATTATACTATCCAAAAGCACATCTATTTAGGTTGTTAAAATGCTACCATATTAATAAAAGAACTTATTCAAAACTCTTGAGATTAAATGTCATCTCAAGTGTATTTCTAATATTGGACTTCTTATAAGAAGAAAAGACTAAAGGTGTAGGGAAAGTGGGAAGGGTGGGGGAAAGGTAACAAGGGAAAAAATATGAGAAAATGAAAAAATGGAAATAAAATGTTTGTAAATGGGGAGGGGTGGAAGGGGTGAAGAGAGGGCAGGGACAAGGGGAAAAAAATGAGAACCAAGACCTGTCATGTAAAGGTACAAGATCCCAATGATGAATGTAACTGTACTGTACACCTAAAATGTACCAATAAACTCAATTTAAAAATTTTAAAAAAGAATATTGGACTTCTTTATTCCAGCATGCCTTATCTAGTAACACAGACCTATGTAGTCATCTTCTTGGATAAAAAGGAAATGTCATACTGTACCTCATAAATATGTATAGTTATTATGCACAAATATAACTTTTTAATTGTTTAAGAAGAGTGCTAACTATACTGATTGGATCATTATATATCATATACACATATCAAATTATCATACTCTACCCCATAAGTATGTACAATTAAATTTTTATGAGGTAGAGAAATTTTCTGTGTCCTAGATAACTGTCATTAGTTGAGCAATTATATTTTTGGATCAGTCATTTTTCTGAGCTAGTTTTCTCATTTGGAAGATTAATTTTAAAATCTAAGTCAGTTTTAGAAATTATTAGTTTGTCTCACATAATCGACAAGTTCTTTCTGTAAAGGCACAGTAAAAAGGGAATTTTCTACTCCTATGTGACATTTCACAAGTATATCTCACAGGGGCTTGCTGTGAAGCAATGAAATAGATAGGTAGAAGTGCTTTAAAATCTGTGTCTTTATACAGTACAGTATTGGTATCATCCCAGTGAGCAGCTGTGTGACCCTGGACAAGTCACCTTTCTCTCCAGACCTCAGTTCTCTCATCTGTAAAACATGAGACTGGACTAAAGTTCTTGGGTCTCTTACCATCCAGTGTGACTATTTCAATCACATGATCCTTTGAGACCAAGGTCCTGCAGAGGTTGAGTCTCCCTTGAAGCTCTCACTGACCACTCAGAAGACTTCTAATTAGGATCCTTCTTGCCTTCTCCTCATCCCTCACAACCCTTCCCTCTCATTCCTTCTCCACCTCCTCCTCATCCTTCTGCGGAAGCTGAAATGTCGGATGAAAGCCGGAGATGGAGCCCTTTAGCCAAGAGTAGAGATCAGGGGAACAAACTACATCCTGTTATGGTTTGGGTCTTCTGATGATGCAATGATATAAATTAATATTTTAAACTAACTCTTACAGACAATAAGTCCTGGTATCAAAGTACTACTGTACTGGATAAAATGGCTCAAAATTAATTTAAATTCAAATCACCATTTCATATAGATCCAATTGGTCTATCAAAAAACTCCAAGAGATCTGAGAACATCTAGTCTAGTCATTTGTTTTACAGATGAAAGAACTGAGGTCTGGACAGAGAGATGACTTGTCTAGGATCACACAGCTACTCACTGGGATGCTACCGCTACTGATTTAAAGAAATACATAGATTTTAAAGCACTTTCAGTTTGCTATGGTGGCCTAAGAGATCTCATTTGAAAGAATGATTTTCTATCCTAATGAATGATGTCCCTTTTCAGAACAAGTCAACCATTCAGGTATACATTTTGTACTTCACTCATCTTTATGGGTTTTCTAAAGTATTATATAGTAGTTCAAAATCAGCCAGCAATTAATAACACCTACCCTGAAAAATTTCCAGGCCAGAATAGTTTCTGCCCTTCTCTATCATATGGATCTCTGCAGATTTAATTGGGAAATTATTTCTATGCTGGACAAGACCAGAAAAGCTTCCTGTGGAAAATTCTGTCTTTACTGGTAGTTAGCTCTGTGGTCTGGATGGAGATGATTCAGGACAGCCTTTGGGAAGAATCCTTCATTTTCATAGCTTAGATGCCTGATTCTCTGGTTTCTAAATCATGTGATTCTTAATCAGCAATCTAGAACACTGTACTCCTAACTCAGAGACTCTGTAAGCTCAAAGAACTAAGCCACCCTGGGTGAGAGAAGTGTTATATTTATGAGTTCCTTAAAGAGTAAGTAAGCTCTCCTCACATTTGTCCCTGCACCAAAATGCAGTTCTCCAGTCCAAAGCCAACCTAAGTGGTGAGAAGACATTGAAAAAAAACAGGGTTATGAGAAAGCTTGGGGAGATGCTAAGAAAAATATTATGCTACACAATTTGTCTTACCTAAGATCAATGAATTTTTCACTTGGAATGAGGATGCTAGATTAAAGTAGTAAATTAAAACAAAGAAAAAATACAAGGAAACTATATTTCCACGTTAACTGGACACTGAGCATATCACTGTTCTTTAGGAAATAGGAAATTTGGATCTCATAAAGATTAATGAAAACCCCAAGATTATAGCCTAACTGGAAAACTAAAAAAAAATATTTATTTATTCTTCAAATGCTTTGAAATCACATTATTACACCTTAAAATATTTCTACGAGGCATTTCAATATGCCTACCTAAGTAGTGAGGATTTTTTAGTTACATGTTCTGATCGTCTACTATATATCAGACATTGTCTTATTAGTGATACATCTAAAACTATAAATATGCTCACATTCATAAATGTGTACATTTTCATGCCACAGGCAGTGCAAGTTTGCTCTTTTCACAAGCTTAGAGTCACACTGCCCATGTATATAATAAATCAACAGGACATTTCATTTTTAAGGGTGGAGTACAATAAGTTAACAATGATTCCCCCATTGTGAAGCTGGGGTGAGTGTTAAAACTTTCCACTGTTTGCCATGGTAGCCTAGAGATCTGATTTGAAAGAATACTTTTCTATCCTAATGATACTTTTATATCCTTTCATTAAAGTCAACTACAATATAAATATGAGGGGCATATGCTTTTTTAATCAGAAAATGATTTTAACATAATGACAAAAAACTCAATGAAGACCCAGAAAGTGGGCTTTGTCACATACATTTTTATTAGAAAGAACTGAAGTTCAAGCAGTGTGGACTAACTGCCTTAAAAAGACCAGCATGTCTGTTATTTAATAAAAGACAATTTGCATTGATCCTATGTGAATATTCATTGGTTTCCTGTTTTGTGTTGTCTAGGAGGTACAGTAGGACTTAATAACCAACAGAAATCTCATCTTTCTTTCCTTATATACCACATTTCAGGTAGAAAGCCACCTTTGATTCTCCACCTTCATTTCATTGGGCAAAATGGAAGACTATTTTTTCTTCAATAAGAAGAGTAAATTTCCAATCAAAGAAGGCTTTATTTCACAACTTCATGGAAAGCCCAGTGATTGAACCTCTTTCTTTGAAAAGCTCTTCAAAGCCACTGTGATGCATACTAAAAGAATGAACTCCAGCAGAGGTCATTATGAAACAGACAAACTTGCTGTCACTTTTAGGGCTCAAAGAAGGTTTATGAAAGACTAGAAGTATCTTAGGAGACCTCCTATGTTTACTAATCTAATTAAAAAGTGTTCTTGCTAGTTGAATGCAACTTCAGGACAAGTCCCCCAGCTCCTTTATCTACTAGATGTTATTCCTGTGCCCCTATTATATCAAAACCAAAAGGTTATTTTTGGTAAGAAAGGAGCTTTAGTTGAATGTGATAAACCGTAGTTTGGTCAACAGTGGACCCCATGAATAATGGTGGTCACAGAAGCCTAGTGACATTATGGCCATCTTAGTTTATGTAAATATGCTCTATGATGTTCACACAACAAGGAACTTGCCTAAGATGAGTTTCTCAGAACATTTTCCTGTTACTAAGTAATGCAAGGCTACATATGTCATGAAAAATCTGTTTTCCTTTTTGTTGATTTAGAGTCATTTCTCTACAGCTCTGCTACTAGCTAGTTCTCTTGTGGCCATGGGAAAGCCATTCTAAGCCTCAGCTTCTTCATCTGTCAGTGAAGGAGGTAGAATCCATTTCAGCCTAAATATTATTATGAAATCACAGCTCTTTATAACAACGTGCAAGTTAGAAATCAAAATTTAAAAAGATTTACTGCTAATAAGACAGCCCAAGTTTTAAAAATTATGAACCCAAATAATTTTCCAAAGAAGATGTACAAATAACCAATAAGCACATGAAAAGATGAAGGATATCCTTATCATCCAAAACAAAAAGAAGACTATCAAAAACACAATAATGTACTACTTAATTCTACTGGGACAACTTAAATGAAAAGATAGACAATAGTAGAAAAATTAGGACTCTCACGCACTGCTGGTAGGATTTAAGAATAGTACAGCCATTTTGGAAAACAGCATGGAAGTTCCTCAAATGGTTAAAGAGAGAGTGAACTCTTAAAGTTTTAGAAGACTGGCTTTAGAGAAAGTTTTCCATCACATTTAGCAACATTATTTATGTAGAAGTTTTACATATATTCCAAACAACTTTCTATCCTCATTACAATCTTTTAAATTTAACATTAATTTTAAATCATTTCTAATTGCATATTTTGAATTTTCACTCTGTATAAATGATAATTCTTTAGTATATGTTTGTGGTACAGAATTAATACATTCATTGTGGTACACATACAGGACACATCTTACTTCTCTTTACGTTCCCTTTCCCTCTCCCCTCCTCCACCCCAACGTCTCTTAGACCTCTTCCCAGAATTGAGTCACACTGTTAACTGTGTTGCTAGAGTTCTCTGAAGAAATCTATTGATGTTTCTTTTTCTGTTAAAATTA